AGGAGCTCATGGGTAGGAAAGAGAATAAGAAGTCAGTATTAATGTGTATATATCACATTTTTATCACAATATGCATGCGTGTTTATTTAGAAGTACTTATACATGAGTCAATACAATATAAGATTGCATTTACGGTAATTTCATTTAGACTCTTTTGTCCAAAGCAATCTAAAAATGAGGAGAATAGAATCACAAACATAGTTGCTGTCAAGGAGTCAACTACAGGCACAAGTGTGACTAGGCTGAGCTTCCAATGAACGCCTGGTAACAAGTGTAAGCAGGATTGGGGCAGGAGCTACACAACATTTTCCAAGCAAAGCAAGGGCCCAATAAAACTACTATTCAGTTATTCATTCAAATATTAAGAGCATTCAGGGAACATGGAGTGGTATTAAGCTAGCAGAGGTATTATTGGGACAGATGAGTCTTGAGATGTTTCTTGAAGGTGGAGAGAGAGTCTGATGACCAGATGTGGTTCAGCAGCTCATTCCACCATGAGGGGATTATGACATAGATGATAATATAACTGGGCAGCACTCAGTGACGTCACTCAGGTGAAGACTGAATCCACTGGACCTTCTTGTCTCCATTTGTCTGCAGCCAATCATTGGTAATGGATAAATTGTGTTTTTTAGTTAATCCACATCCCACTGCCCCCTACATCCTCCCAAACAGCCACAAACAATGAACAGCTATGGTGTTGACAACACATCACTCCGGAAAAGGATTTGACCTTGATTTTCTAAACTTTGGTACATTTTCACACGGAATTAAACCAGTAATTGGTTTGAGTTGCAATATCAAAGAAGAAAACCCCCTTCGTGATCTTCTGTAGATCTCCAACTGCTGGATAATCCTGATTCACTCTATGTACTGTGTATGGTTGAGCATCAAAGCACAAAATAATAATACAGTAAATACACCAATCAGTTGATAATAGATATAGTTAATATTAATTACATGTATTGCTTATGCGGCTTGAGCATTTTTTTATTGAAAATGGATGTAAATACTGGGCTGGTTTTATGATTTTTACTAAAGTTTTGGAGAAGATTCTGCACCATCTTGTGGCAACTCGTAGCTCCGGCCAAATTAACACTTGGCCTCTCCCTGCTGATCACAACCACACACAAGCGTATATCGCATAAATGTAACGGAATACACTTTTTTGGCTGCTTTTAATTCCTATTTACTGACAATAAGAATCTAATTTATTATTCTTCATTTTATATACACATACTGTTAAAAGACCTTAACACGATTACTTGTGAAAGGAAGCGATTTTTCATGGCATAATCCGGTTGGTTACTTTTTGTCAGCCTCCACATTAATGCTGTTCAGAGGTGATTTAGGAGCAGCGCTCTAGTCTCACAGATCCATCGAGCATTTGTGTCGCAGGTCCAACCCCGCCATGATGTATACCACCTTTGGATTCTAGCACAGTATTCATTCCAGTAATATGAACTCGGCTCCTGGAAACTAGAACAGAAAGAAAGAGACCGAGTGATAAAACAGTGTTTTTAAAAACTTATTGCTAACAAGGCAGCAGCAACTCACCTGTTAGATTCTCTGTTAACGTTTTTCTTAATCCAGGATGAATTTAATGACAAGGGAAATAGTTATTATCAGTTCTTGTTATTTATATTATGTCTTAAAAATTGTTGAAAATGAGCTTAAAAATTACAGACTATATATAAACCATTGGCCAGAAAAATAGTCATTGGGGACTGACGGTGTAAACCGGGGCTCTTCAAATCAGGACCTCGACTCCTCATGTTCCGGCCGAGCTGTTTAGCTCCCGGACTGAGGACCAGCTCTCTGGCCAGCGCCATTGTACGCTGTACCAGCACTTTGGTCGTGGGAACGTCAGCGCCGCGTTTTTCTTATATTCTGCTTGTTCTGGTCACTGATTTATTGGGTCGGCGAAGGAAGGTTGTGTATTGTTTGCAGTAATTGACCTTTTCAATTGCCATATAATTGTACACTGAACCCGCGATCCGTCGCCTTTATAGTTTGATGCATATGCTTTGTTTTGTGGGATAGGGAACCTCAAGTAGCATGTAAAGAACGGACGTGCGCAAGGTTAAAAAAAAAGTCCTTTTCTTACGTCTTCGGAAAAATGGCTTTTTTACTTGCTTCATATCTTAGTTAATATGTACAAATGACATTTTCTATGCACTGTTTTAGTTCGGTAATGTGCATTGGGTTGCATTGATGCTAATTCGCAATACATGCCTATATATGTTAGCGTATCATTTATTTGTAATTACGTTGATTAACGTTAGCACTTATTGGCCAGCTTGTTGTAACTATGCTCTGCTAGGTAAGAGATCTCCCAAGTCTTTTCTGTGTTTGGTTTATTACAGTTTCACTCATACATTTTCTCCTGTCACATACGGAGAAAACACGTAGCGGGAACATTACACTGTTTATTACAATATACACTACAGGTGGTGCAAAGTGAGATTAAAACAATATCTAAAGATGGTTGGCGCAAACCCAATATGATTGAAATACCGGTAAATTGCGGCTCTCTGTGGATGAAAAAATATGTGCTCTTTGGGTGACAGCGATCAAAAGAGATCAGGG